GAGAGGTAGGATATGTTGGGCGGTCAGGGGAGATACATGCTGGGTATTCTCAAACCACTCACAGCCAGCAAACTGCCATCCCACCTGCAGCAGCCAGTGTACCTTGTGCTGAGGAGCTGAAGAGGAAACTCAAAAGGAAACAGGATACTCTCTTAAAGTATCAAAGGACTAGGGTCAGCACATGGTGTGGTGGTTAGGGCACTAGACTCCCACATGATGGATGCAGTTCAAGTCCTAGACCTGGCAATTTGCTTTCTCACCTTCCTTTTCTTTCCCTTTTTCTCTGTCTTTCTCTGGTCAAATTAAAAAATAATGATAATAGGGAACCAGCAGTTAGCGTAATGGCTATGTCGCTGGACTCCCATGTAGTCGACTGTGGTTCGCATCCCGGACCCGGTGGCTTAAAACTCATGCTGGGTGCATGTGCGTGCGTGCCCAAGATCCCGAGAGGAGAATGGAGGAGAAGGGATTGCGGCGTGACCATCCCCCCTGGGGGGTGATTTCTTGCTTTCTGTCTCTATGTCTCTCTCTGTCTGTCTGGCGAGCGCACGCGCCCAATAGCGAAAATCTCTCCAAAAAAATAATAATAATAACGATAATAAGTAAATTTAAATGAATAATTATTTTTAAAAAAATCAAAGGACTGTTACTTAGAAGAGGAATTTGACTCCTTCCACATGGTTGTAAGACAGGTTTTTGGCTCAATACCAGGAGGAACTTTTCAAAAATTCTTATTATAATCTTACTTTTTTGAAGAAGCAATACTGTCATGAGAAGATATTAAAAAGAACACAGTGAAAGTGTCCCTCCAGTACTGTTCCTATCCACCCACTCCTCACTTAATTCTTCCTCTATTCCAGGTACTCATCTTAATAGATTCTGTCTGTCTGTCTGTCTTTTTAAAAATACTTTTCCTATAGGGCATGTGTACTCACTGAGAGAAAGAGAGGGAAAGTGAGAAAGCAACCTCCCTCAGGTAGGGATGATCATGGTGCAATCCCTTCTCCATTTTCCTCGGGATTTTGGGCATATATGCCCAGAGTCATTTTCAAGCCGTCAGATCTTGCACTTGAACCATGTAGTAGATCATGTGGAATCTAGCCACCTTCACCACACCACTGGCTGGCCCAACGGTGCCTTATATGATGTGATCCCATAGATTTTTTTCCCCCTTTTTCAGTACCTTTTTTTTTTTTTTTTTTTTGAGAGAGATTTTTGCTATAGGGTGTGTGTGCTCCCTGAAAAGAAAGAGAGAGACAGAAAGTAAGAAACCAACTCCTGGGGAGATGGCCATGCTACAATCCCTTCTCCTCCATTCTCCTCTTGGGATTTTGGGCACGCACGCACATGTACCCAGTGTGATTTCCCACCTTTTTTTAGAGAGAAATTTTTGCTATAGGGCACATGCCCTCATTGAAGAGAAAGAGTGACTGAAAGCAAAAAATCACCCCTGAGGGGAGATGGCCATGCCACAATATCTTCTCCATTCTCCTCTGGATTTGGGGCATGCATCCACATGGGCCCGGTATGAGTTTTAAGCCTTCAGTTCTGGGACTCAAACCATGGTCATCTACATGGGAGTCCAACAATGTAACCATTATGTAATCTGCTGGTCTCCCTAGTTAGTATTTTAGTTAAAGTTGTGATAAAGAATAAATAACATCAAATTTACCATTTTAACCAGTATTGAGTGTACAGTTCAGAGACATTGGGTATATTTGCATTATGATGCAGCCTCACCACCATTCATCTCCAGAGCTCATCTTGCAAAAACCCAAACTCTATCCATCAATAACTCCCCATTTTTTTCTCCCCCAGTCCCTAGAAACCACCATTCTACCTTCTGTCTCCATGAATTTGATTACTTTAGGTATCTCTTATAAGTAGATGCATATAGTATGTCCATTTGTGACTAGCTTATTTCATTTAGCGGGTCTTCCAGGTTCATTATACATTTTACATTGTATTATATGTCAGAATTTTCTTTTTTTAAAAAAAAATAATTGCCAGAGGGCACATGTGCACCCCCGAGACAGACAGAAAGGGAGGGAGAAAGGGAAAATGAAAAAATACCCCTCCCTTTTGGGAATGGTCATGCTGCAATTCCTTCTCCACTTCTCCCTTCTTTTGGGACTTGGACACACATGCACCTGGCATGTTTTTCAAGCCACCAGATCCAAGACTCATACCTCACAGACGGCCGTGTGGGATCCAGCCACCTTAACTATCATGCCATCAGCTGGCCCCAGCATTATGTCTCTTTAAGCTAAAACAGTCATCCTCCTAGGGTGGCAGGTGGTGTGTTGGTTAAGGCACTAGACTCGCACAAGTCTGCCTCCACGGTTAAAGCAGAATAAGCGCTTTCCTGTACAGTTGAGAGCTTAGTGGGCCCTGGGGTGATCAGGGCTTCATGGAAGAGGTGAACTTTGACTTAGGGTTTGTAGGAAGCTGGCAGCCCCTTCCCTTTCACCCCTCTAACTCTTCTCATCTCATGCTCCAACCAGATGATTCTAGGCCACCTCTCCCTCCCCTGCCCAGCCCAATGGCCTCGTACTTCTACTACCCTCCCACAGGCTGCGATTCTGAAATTATCTTCTAACACCTAGGCTCAAGAAACCTGCTGCTCTTGTCTAAAGGTTGGGCAGGGGTTTACCCAAAGAACCAGCCACTTCCTCCTAAAATGCATGTACCTTGATGAATGTGGATGGCTAGTGGCCAGGACAGGATGGTTCTCTCCCCTGCCAGGGAGAGGCAGGGTGTGGCAGCCATTGGCAGGAGGGCCGGCGATGTGGTTAGCAGGCCAAGGGGGTTCAGGTTGTCTTTGTTCATGGCAGGTCTCTCTCTGCTCGGGTTATAACCGTATTAGAGGAGTGGTACAGAGATGGTCACTCCCATCACCCTCCCTTCTGCCCATCACTCTGGGGGGACAACCATCAATACCCTTGGCCTCTTTGGCCTCAGTCGCACAGGCAGGCTGAGGCTGTGGCAAGAGCATTAGGCCAGGAGTCAGAAGGTCCCTAGTTACATACCTTTGGTCAGAACATAACACCCCTGGGGGGTGATTTCTTGCTTTCTGTCTCTCTGTCTCTCTGAGTTTGTCTGGCGAGTGCACGCGCCCTATAGCAAAAATCTCTCCACACACACACACACACAAAGTATTTTTAAATTTAAAAAAAATTTGAAGAGATTTTTGCTATTGGGCACATATGTTGACTGGAGAGATAGAGAGAGACAGACAGAAAGTGAGAAATCATTCCTGGGGTCATGGTCATGAAATCCCTTTTCCTCCATTCTCTTCTTGGGATTTTGAGCACACACATATACATAGGTGCCCGGTGTGAGTTTTAGACCACCGGGTCTGGGACTTAAACCATGGTCAACTACATGGGAGCCCAGCAACATAACCATTACACCATCTGCTGTTGCCAGTACACCAAAATATTAGTGTTGCTCTAGGTGACAGGATTACAGGTGTTTTATTCTTTCTTTGTGCTTTTCTGTATTTTTCAAAATGTCTACAATATAACTGAATTACTTATTTTTTTTTTAAGAGAGATTTTTGCTATAGGATGTGTACCCTTACCAGAATGAGAGAGAGACAGAAAGCAAGAAATCACCCCCCTCCCGGGGGGTATGGCCATGCCGCAATCCCTTCTCCTCCATTCTGCTCTTGGGATTTTGGGCACTCATGCACATGTGCCTAGCGTGAGTTTTAAGCTGCTGGGTCTGGGACTCAAACAGTGGTCAACTATATGGAAGTAGCAACAAAACTACTGCTGGTCCTCTGTACTGCCTTTTTTTAAAGAAGAAAAATTAGACGATCAAACTGATTTTGACAAAATACAGACTAAACATAGATTTAACTGAAAATTTATGGTTAACTCGTGAGAGGATGACACATATTAACCAAAACATAATTTCTGGTCATAGATCAATAAAATTATTATTAAAACTCTTAAAGCATCATATAATCCTTTCTACGTGTGTGTATGTATTTAGAATTTTTAAATTTTATTTTATTTGCTCATTCATTTGTTTTAATTTGACCAGAGATAGACACAGAGAGAGAGAGAGAAGGAGGGAAAGTAAGAAAGAAGTCCAACATGTGGGACTGTCAGTGCCCTAACCTGCACACTACCTGCTGGTCCCTTGCGTGTGTGTTTTTAAATACCAGGACTCGAGACTGGCAGTTGGTGTAATGGCTATGTCACTGGACTCCCATGTAGCCAGCTGTGGTTTGAGTCCTGGACCCAGTGGCTTAAACTCATGCTGGGCGCATGTGCATGGGTGTGACATGGCGCCATCACCCCTCCCCCCCAGCAATTTCTCACTTTCTGTCTCTCTGTCTCTGTCTTCCTGGTGAGCGCACATACCCTATAGCAAAAACCTCTCCAAATAAAAAAAAAAAAGAAAAGAAAAGAAAGAGAGAAAAGAAACACCAGGACTCAGTAGGACAGTCAGTCAGGTAAGAACCAACCGCCCTAACCAAGATGCCAGCTCCCATAGTCACCGCACATCTGTCCCAGCAGAGAGCAACATGAGGGCAGCGCCGTCTTTATTCCTTTCACAACCTCTTACTGTTTCCGGCTCCCATGCGTACTGCATGGTACTGTCCCACATCCATCCCGGGCTCCTCTGTCTGTGACAGGCTCGGACTCCCTTGTTTTTCCAGTACCCTCTCTGAATTTCGCCATCAGAAAAAGCAAGCCCTGGTGACGGTGATGATTAATGTCTGGTAATTCCTTCCTTCCCATCAGGGCGGTAAGCCAGAAATTTCCCCTCTGTGTTCATGGATCCACAGAAGCTGGTTCACCCTAGTGCGCTTTCGGGCCCTGCCCTGCGCCTGTCGCTGTCCCTCAGCCCAACCCAAGGAGGTTGGGGGACCCTTGGCTCAGACTGAGTCCCTGGAAGGGGGCGAGCTGCAGCCCCGCGAGTCCCCTCGCCCGTTGGGCGAGCGCGAGGGCGGCGCTGGTGCTGGGTCAGCTGTTCCGAGCCGGTCCACCCACTTCCCCGGGCTTATAAACCATCGCTGTCCTCAGAGCGCCGAAACCGCCTGCCGCCCGCTCCGCCCAGGCAGCCCTGCAGCATGGCCTGGAACACCAACCTCCGCTGGCGGCTGCCGGCCACCTGCCTGCTGCTGCAGGTGGCCATGGTCGTGCTCTTTGGCTTTTTCGTGCGCTACGACGCCGAGGCTGATACCCACTGGTCGGATGAAAGGCGGCGCAGGAACATATCTAGCAACCTGGAGAACGAATTCTACTACCGCTACCCGAGTAAGTCCCGCCTCCCCGCAGGCCCGCCAAGGAACCTCATGCCAGTCCCCACATGGCTGAGAAACCCTCCTGGCTGTGGCTGCTGCTGGGAGCCAGGGTCAAGCAGGCGGCGGCGGAGGTGCTGCCGCAGCCCCCTGCCCCGGGCTCCCCACAGGCTCCTCACCGGGGCGCTGGCCAGCCTCCGCAGTCACGCGGGAGAAATGGGCAGATGCGCACGGACTCCTCGTCCCGTGAACACTAGCAGGGCACACTCACGGGGTGAGCCTTATTTGACTGCCCACCCTCTTCGCATCAGGAGCAGGCCAGGGAACCCTGCCTGGTGCCTTCAGAACACCGGAGTCCCACCCATCACTGACCAGTGGGTAACCTGGCCCTCTTGTCAAGCTGTGCCGGTCCACTCCAAGTAAGGAGGCAGGTCTACCATCGAGGGATACAGGGTTGGCTCCATGGCCCACCTGCCTAGCTGCAGGGACTGTGTGTGGGACCAGTGGTGGGCTGGGAGGCCATGGCACCCACACTCTCTTGGCTTGGAGGTGGAGAAGGAGCACCCTCAGATTTCTGGCCTCTGTGGTGCTGTGGATGCAATCTCGGCCCTGGAACCATTGTCCTCCTCTCTACTGTGGCTCTGCTATTGAGGAGTTGGGGGGCCAGAGGCCAGTGCCAACCTTGCTAAACCTCAGTGTCCTCATCTACTGAATGTGGACGATTGACCCTACTGCACGGGGGCGGGCGAGGCTGGGAGAGACAGTGCGTGGAAAGCTCTGGCTGGGTGCTGAGCATCAACTCCTCGCTTCATAACAGCAATTACTACAACAGCACAGGACACAGACGCCCCAGGACGTGGGAGCTGGACCGACTGGCTCAAGGTCACTCCTGGCGGCCCAACCTCCCGACTCCCCGCCCAAGACTTTCCACAGGCTTGTGCTTTTTGATTTCCCACTCATCTACCAGCAGCAAACGACAATTCTTTTAACAGTTGGTGCTCACATAGGCAGGGACAGAGCGTTTCGGGAGGGACCCTGATGCCTGTCTCCCACGGCCACCCACATCAACTGGTGATACACTCCCAGCAACAGGGGACTGTCCACCTCCAGACATAAAGTGGGGTTTTTTGTTGTTGTTATTTTATTTTTTTTTAGAGCGATTTTTACTATAGGTCATTTTTGTTATAGTACATGCGCTCATTGGAGATACAGAGACAGGAAGTGAGAAATCATTCCGCCATCTCTTCTTCTCCATTCTCCTCTTGGGATTTTGGGCACACATGCACTTGGGCTCAGCATGAGTTTTGAGCCATCAGGTCTGGGACTCGAACCATGTTCGGCACATGGGAGTCCAGCACCTTAACCACTATGCCACCTGCTGGACCCTAGACATAACGTTTTCCTTAGGTCCTAGTAGACAACTGCACACTATCGGAATGAAAAGAGACTGAGTCTGGTGGCCGTGGGCTCAGTGGGAGTCAGCCATATTAAATTGCTGAGGAACATCGGGGCCATCCTGGGCTACTTTAATAGATACATGTGGCCTAGAATAAGGGCGACAGGGACCAGCAGTTAGCGTAATGGCTATGTCAGTTCTAGGACGCGAACTGCAGTTTGCGTCCTGGATCTGGTGGCTTAAAACTCACGCCAGGTGCGTGTGCGTGCATGCCCAAGATCCCAAGAGGAGAATGGAGGAGAAGGGATTGCAGCATGGCCAACCCCCCTGGAGGGTGATTTCTCGCTTTCTGTCTCTCTGTCTCTGTCTGTCTGGTGAGCACCGCGCTCCATGGCAAAAACCTCCCCCCCCCCAAGAAAAAAACAACAAGACAAATAAGGGCGACAGAAGAGGGGTATGCCAGGGAAGACCACAGCCTCGACTGGGTCCCACACGAGGCCATGTTTTAAGAGATCTGGACAGCTGCAGTCTTGGACTTCAGGCTCCGAATCCACTCTTCATATTGCCCACTTTTGCAAGCAAACAGTCAGGTGGGTGAGCTGGGGACCCTCCAGGGCCTGTTCCACTCCTTATCACTTGGCCCAGAGCCAACTCCCCAAGAAGGCGTTGGGGCAAGGTTTCTCAAGGGCAGGCATAAGCCCTCAATATGTCCAGGCATGAGGGCCTCGAATCTCTGTAATAAGAACTAGAGACCCTTACTAGTAGGGGGACACCATCCCTATTACCCCAGCTCCTATCCCTTCCCTCCTTGCTCACCCACTGACTTATGCTTCCCCTTCACTTATTCACTCAATAAGCACTTACCTATAAGGTGACTATACAATTTATCCTAATGAGACGCCTTTGAGAGTGAATGAAACAGGACCAGCAGTTGGCGTAACAGCTAAGTCACTGGACTCCCATGTAGTGGACCGTGGTTTGAGTCCCAGCCCCGGTGGCTTAAACTCACATGGGGCGCATGTGCGTGTGTGCCCAAGATCCCAAGAGGAGAATGGCGTGGCCATTCCCCCGGGGGTGGGTGGATTTTCACTTTCTGTCTGTCTCCCTCTGTCTCTCTGGCAAGCACATGCACCCTATAACAACTTGCAGTAAATAAATAAGAGCAAAGAGGGTATAAATTATGACAGACCCAGTAAACCAGGGTTTTTGGTTAGTCTGGACAAACAAGTCAAATATATCCTAGTCTCCAGTCCCAAGACATTCTCAGACTTACAGGGAGCAGAGAGATGCAACCCAACACCCAGGGCATCTGTAGAGTCCAAACTCAGGGCAGAAGAGGCCTGTGCTGGCTTTCTGGGAAGTAGCGAATGGTGAGGAAGGGAGCAGGACAGCTGAAGGGGTGCTGGGAAGTGGGGTGAATGGGGAGAAAAAACTCGAGTTTTTCCTGCCACTTCCCCTGTGAGTGCTGGGCAGCTCTTGGCAGTGACAGAGGAGAGATGCTCAGGAGAGAAGCCTGATCTCAGGGTCCCTTGGCTGGGCAGAACATGGTAGCTCTCCTCTCCTCTGAATGTCACCACCTCCCTCTGAGGGAGGCACTGTGGCAACCCCCATTTTCAGATGAGAAAACCAAGGTGAGAGAGGAGAAGTGCCTGGCAGTCACTCAGCCGGGAGGCCAGGAGCCAGGGGAGCAGCGCGGGGACTCTGAGGCTTGCTCCTGGACCTCTCGCACCCTAGCCTCACCCTCTCCCCTTCCCCTGCCCCACTCTTCTCAGACTCACTTGGTCAAGGGGACTGTGGCTCAAAGTTAGAGGGCCTGAGATGTCCTAGCCCAGGTGGGTCCCAGCAGTTCCTGGGCAGTTAAGTAATGCCCAGGGACATAGGGTAAGAACAGCCCCTGCGGCACCTCTCTGGTTCTTGGCTCCAGGCCATCAGCACCTGTGTAGGCCTCATTCCTACGCAGAGGATTAGTGGAACACACTGGGCTTCTCGATTTCCAGAAAAGTCCAGCTACAGCTGGCATGGGTCAGGGCTCAGGAGGCCCAAGAACCGGACCTGAGGTGTGGGCCCTCTGCAGGCAGCAGGCACAGAGCCAGCTGGGGACCTGTGCTGGCACTACCTCAGAGGCCTGTGCTGCAAGTGCCACTCATGGGTTGGTGCTCCCAGGCTTGAGTCAGGGTAGAGGGGAGCAGGGGCTGCAGGGAGGTTGGCCCAAGGAGGAGCCACAAGGGTCTGTGCTCCAGAAGTTTCCTGAGGAGACCAAGGACAGAGCAGGACGCATTTCAGAAGAGGACCTAGAACAGAGGATTCACAGGGCTGCTTCCTGAGGCTCAGGAGGGTGTGGGCAAACCGCACCTCAGATTCAGTCCCAGTTGATCAAGGATGAGCTTATATACAAGCAGAGGGCAGTGTAAGCTGGTGATGACTTTCAAATTAAACAGATCTGGGCTCATCACTGAACAGAAAGAATCAACTACCTAGCCACTCAGAGCCTCAGTATGCTCATCTGTAAAGCAGGAATGTCATTATCATTATTATTATTTTGGAGAGATTTTTCCTACAGAGCATGTATGCTTACCAGAAGGACAGAGAGAGATGGAGAAAGTGAGAAATCACTCCCAAGGGGATGACCACACCACAATCCTTTCTCCTCCATTCTCCTCTCAGGATTTTGGGCACACGTACATGCATGCCTTGTGTAAATTTCAAGCCAAGTCTTGGACTTGAACCATGGTCAACCATGTGGGAGTCCTGCACCTTAACCACTGCACCACCTGATGGCCCTGAGTAGGAATATTTAAGTAGAGGCTCTCTAAGAAGGTTCGAGATGACAGGTGACTACCAGGTACTTATTTCAGGGTGCAGAAGGAGTACAGTGCACACTGGCATCAAGCTGCTTCAGAAGGGAGTAGGTGTTCTGCCAATGAAGGTGTTCCAATGGAGGCTCTGCATCCCTTAGAGCTGTGGCCAACGAAGCACTCCCTGAATACTAGTTTGAACTATAATAGCATTTAAATTCCTTCAATAGATGGCATAATGGTTACGTTACTGAACTCCCACATAGTCAACCGTGGTTCGAGTCCTGGACCTGGCAGCTTAAAGCTCACACCGGTGCATGTGTGTGCATGCCCAAAATCCTGAGGGGGGGGCGGAGAATAGAGGATAAGGGATTGCGGTGTGACCATCCCCCCCTGGAGGGTGATTTCTCACTTTCTGTTTCTGGTTCTCTCTGGTGGGTGCATGCGCCCAATAGCAAAAATCTCTCAAAAGAAAATTAAATTAAGTTCCTTCATGCTCTTCCAATTGCAAAGTGCTACTGTTGCCATTTTATGGTGAAGGAGATGAGGGCAGAGAGGAACTGTCAGTGGCCAGGCCAGCTGAAGCCCAGCCCTTATCCCCTTCAGCCCACCTACTTCCCAGGGTCGCCTGCAGCATCGCTGCCCCCAGCCATCTCCCCAGGAGGTTTTGCAGTATTAGTGTGGGAGGGACTGCACGGAGTCTTGGGAGAACTGGGTGTCTGGCTGGTGGGTCTCAAAGAAACTGACTGAGGCTGGGCTTGCCCCTAGGGAAAGGGAAATGGCAGTACCTGGCCCCTGCAAGGCACCACCTTCTCTGTGCTGATGCTACAGAAGGAGGGGGTAGCAGTGGTCTGTCAGCATAGGAAACTGTCCTCTGATTGTGGAGGCTCAGTTAACCTCTCCCATTCAAGAGGGAAGAGGGACCAAGAAGGATGAGGGGTGGGAAGCCAGGGAAGAGACCAGGAGAGAAGAGCTGTGCACTGGTGCCCCCTGGTGGCAGCTCTCAGTGGGAAGCCAATGTGCCAGTCCCCCATCAAGGACCTAGAGGCTTAGGAGGGACAGAGAGTTGGGCAGGGCACTTTGAGTCACTCCAGGCTGACAGGGGGGTGGGGGTGTCTCACAAACTTCCACTGACCCTCAGCAAGTCTCCATCCCAATGCAAAGCACCCGCTCAGTCTTAAAAGAGAAGAGTAGTAGCTAATATGATCAAGCGATTGCTGAAGAGCCAGACCTATGCTCAGGGCTTTGACTGGGCCAAACATACTGTGTCCATGTGCCCCAAATCCGGACAGGATGGAGAAATGGAGATGGCACCACACCCCACTGGCAGGGGATGCTTTCTCCCCTTCTTTCTGTCTCTCTGTCTCTCTCTGTCAAGAATACCTCATTAAATGTGTGCCACAAACCTCTGTGATGAGCACTGTGTAGGTCTTGTTACTATTCTTCATTTGACTGAAAAAGAAACTGGACCAGAGAGTTTATGTCCTTTGCTGAAATTCATCATTTGGCTCTTTACATGGTTACTATTAAAACCATTTTTAGGGGCCGGCAGGTGGCACGGTGATTAAAGGCACTGGACTCCCACATGGTCAACTATGGTTCAAGTCCAGTACCTGCTAGCTTCCTTTCTCAATTTCCCTCTCTCTTTCTCTGGTCAAATTGGAAAATAATAACAAATAAAATTAAAATAGTTTTTAAAAAATCATTTTAAGTAACACCAAATTTTAGGAAGCAGAGATTAACAAACTGATGAGTTTTGGTGTTACATTAGGAACTGTTTGGGAAATGAAGAGAAACACAGCAAGAGAATGAACTGGGGAGGTGTCCAAAGAGAGGGAATATGGTATCCGTGTATCTCCCGAGAGATCAGGGAGGAGGGGATAAGCAGATGGCGTAATGGTTGTCACTGGACTCCCATGTGGTTGACCGTGGTTTGAGTCCTGGACCTGGCAGCTTGAAACTCATTTTAGGCAGGCATGTGTGTGTGCCTGCCTAAAATCCCAAGAGGAGAATGGAGGAGGGACTGTGGCATGGCCATCTCCCCGGGGGGTGATTTCTCACTTTCTGTCTCACTGTCTCTCCAGTGAGTGCACATGCCCCATCTTATGGCAAAAATCTCTCTCTCTAAAAAAGAAGAGACCAGACAGAGAGGTGGGAGGAGGGGCAGACAGGGAGGAAGGGATGGCAAAGTGAGGACTCCCCGCTCCAGCTCTCGAGCCACTGAGATATGAAAAGTAGCCCCAAACTGCAAATATTCACCTACTACTATGCCACCTGGAAGGTGACACCCCCTCCTTGAAAGTCCCTCCTTGACTCTGCCTTTTCCCAGCGGTCCCTCCCACCACCCTGCCAATGCCTTCCTGCTTTGTCTGCTAGCTGCCAGGCACGGTGGTTCTCAGCCTGTGTCTCTCCCTCTGTTTGTTCCCACATCCCAACTCCCAGCTCTCTTTGCACCCTGTCTAGTCTCAGGCTCCATTTCTCTCACGCTGCCTGCCTGGCCCTCAGCCCTGCTCCTGTGGTCATCTCAAATTCAGGGTGTCCAGGAGTAGGCCAGCACCTCCCACCCAGCATCCTTTGCCCACTGCCCAGTGTCTGGCAACAGTGCTGCTGCGGTGCCAGCTCCCCTCCAGAGCGGCTGCTGGGAGTGAAGTCGGAATGCCTCACCGTCCCCTTTCACAGCTCTGCTTGTCTGTCACCCAGCAGCTCTTCCCAGAATAACCATAATACCATTTATGGTGCTTCACATACCTTAGCTCAATCTCCCCCACATCAGCTGGAAACCTAAGTCATGAAACACAATCACACCTGAAAGCAACAGCTTTCAAACTTAAGCTGAGGTGTGTTTGTTTGCATAAACTGAACACAGCAGCCAGACTCAGAGGAAGTTCAGAGCACCATCCTAGGCCGGGTCCCACAGCTCTCCTACAGCCACCTCAGTGTGCCAGGCCCCTGAGCCTCTCTCAGGTGGCTCCCGGCCAAGGGGTCCGGGTCTCAGGGGAGCCTGGAGGGGGGGCGGGGGATGGATGAGGTAGATGGAAGCAGGCAAGATCCAGGTAGCTGCAGTATATAAGCAACGCTCCCCACTCCCTTGGCCAAGCTGTGGTGGGCCCCAGCACCTGTAAGCCCTGTGGTAGGAGGTGCAGGACTAGAAAGGGGCTTCAGTGCTACCTGGCTGTGACATCCCACCCAGGCTCCTTTACCACTCAGCCTCCATGCCTGAGTGCCGGTGAGACAACAGCAACAATCCTGCATTCATGCATGGATACTTATGGAGGGTCTTCCTGGATATTCTTGGAGAGCCTGGGAATGGCACAGTGAACGAAACAGGCATGACCCTGCCTTCTTGGAGTTTTATGGTTCAGTGGGAGAGAGAAACAAAAAAAAATAATAATAATAACTTCAAATTGTAATAAGATCTACGAGAGAAAAGAGGGTGCAATGAGGGAGGGAGGCGGATGGAACTCCAAGCTATCATGTGGGGCGTGAGGAGGCATCACCTGGCATTATAGCCCTAAGATGGGGTCCCCCTCAGGTCACCCAGAGGCCCCTAAGAGAGAATATGGGAGTAGAGGCAATTTCTCCAGCAGGGGAGCCCCTCCTTGCTGTACCAGTCCCAGGGTTGGGATGCGGACATGGACGGACAGGGCTAGGATGGTGGCACGGGAGCGGGGGGGGGGGGGGGGGGGGGCAGGGACTGCGTTGGTCCGCACTCAGACCTCGCGCCCCCACACACTCTCCCCGCAGGCTTCCAGGACGTGCACACGATGGTCTTCGTGGGCTTCGGTTTCCTCATGACCTTCCTGCAGCGCTATGGCTTCAGCGCCGTGGGCTTCAACTTCCTGCTGGCGGCCTTCGGCATCCAGTGGGCGCTGCTCATGCAGGGCTGGCTCCGCTTCATGGAGGACGGCCGCATTATACTAGGCGTGGAGAAGTGAGCGCAGGGCGGGGATCAGGCCCCAGGGGCGGGACTGAGTGTCGCAAGGTGCGGGAGTCTGAACCTACAGAGCCCCGCCGGCAGGAAAACCTGAGGGCGGGTCCTCTGGGGGCGGAGCGGGCTGGACCGAGCTTTGGCAAGGGAGTCTGGGGGCGTGGCCAGGAGGGGTGGTAAGGCCTCTCCCATCCGCCACGTACGCGACGACGTACACCTACCTGCATGCCTGTACACACGTGCACACATACACACACCCCGTCCTGATCAGCGACTTTTGGGGATGGGAATCCTAATTGTATGCAGTCGCTGTGGGAAGCTCACCATCCCTCCAAGACAGAAGCTGCAAGGGACATGAGGCCAGACCTTTCTCCACGACTGGGCTCAGGCCTCCACCCTGGCACATCCAAATCTCACAGCCTTGTGCCCTGAGAAACTGCAGCCGGCGCCCTGGGCCAGTCTCACATGGTTCGTTTAGGAGGCAACACTGAATGGGGGATCCAGAAGAATCTCAGCACTGCCCCTCTCTGGGAGGAGCGAGACAGGTGTGGGCATGGAGGGTTAGGGCTGAAGCCGGCTCCCTGCCTGGACCTCCAAGGTGGGGCACCCTATCCTCACCTTGTCTCACCTCTATCTTTCTAATAACTTTACTCCACGATCACCTTTTGGTTCAGTTGCCCTTTCCCATCAGGTAACTGTTCTGAAGTGAACTTCTCCAAACCTCAACAGGGCTTCCCACCCCACCCCACCACCACCAGGGGATAACATGAATAATTCCCCCAAAGCCAATTTGCCAAAAACCAACCAGCAAAGCAGTGGGTTCGCTGCATGACCCATTCATGGGACCCTCTACCTCCTGACAGTTTATGACACCTCTCGCAGTTCACATTGCTGCTGTCCCAACCCTGGCCCTAGCCTGTTTCCCCACAGCCTCATCAACGCGGACTTCTGTGTGGCCTCTGTCTGTGTGGCCTTTGGGGCACTTCTCGGCAAAGTCAGCCCTGTCCAGCTGCTCATCATGACCTTCTTCCAAGTGACCCTCTTCTCGGTGAATGAGTACATTCTCCTCCAGCTGCTGGAGGTGAGCAGCGCTCAGGGTGGGGATGGGGTGGGAGGGCGGGAGGACACCGGAGGAGACAGGAGGGGAGTAGAGAAAGAGAGGGCTGGGGAGGCTCGGTTTCCTCATCTCTAGAGTAAGAGTAATGCCATCTACCAGGCGAGTGTGCTGGTTCAGTCGGCATATCAGCCCGGCACCTGGGCAGAGCAGGGGCTCCTCTCAGGCTGCTCGCCCTTCACTTTCCTGCATCAGCTGGCCTGAGTGAGATGTTCCTGCACATACTACGTTGTGCACACCGCACTCCTGGATTGCTCTGCCAGGAAAATGATCCAGTATATTGAGAGGGCAAATCTGTAGGGAAGGATCCCAGGGGTATGGCCAAGGTGTCTTTACAGCAGTACGGGCCGTGCACTGCACAACCCTACAGGTGCCATTTGGATGGACTATGGCAGAAATGCTGCGCCGTGGGGTTGGCCAGTTCAATATCCCAGATAAAGGGCACTGTATCTGACCTTTGAGCAAGGGTAGGGCAACATTCAGAGACGCCCCCCCCACCCACACACACACACACTTCTTTTTTTGAGAGAGATTTTTGCTATAGGGCACGTGTGCTTACTGGAGAAACAGACAATGTGAAATCACCCCCCTTCCAACCCAGGGAGGATGGCCATACTACAATCCCTTCTCCTCTATTTCGCTCTTGGGATTCGGGGCATGCACGCACATGCGCCCAGCATGAGTTTCAAGCCACCAGGTCTGGGACTCAAACCAGTCAATCACATGGGAGTCCAGTGCCTTAACTACTACGCCACCTGCTGCCCGCCCCCCACGTGTCTTACTCCTTTCTACATTTAGTCTCTACCTGGATCCCCTCCTGGGGGCATTAGGCTGTCCTAAACTCAAGTCGTTCATTTTGTCATTTTTTTCCCAGCTGCCAGACTAGTCCAGACCGCCATCTCTCTTCCTCCTGATGCATCTCCCTGGCTTCATCTTTGTCCCACTCACCTCCTCAGGTCAATCACCAGCAGCCAGGATGACCTGCTGATAATGCATCTCAGACCAGTCCCCCAGTTAAAGCCTATCAAAGGAGATGTGTGTGTGTGTGTGTGTGTATAAGAGAGAGAGAGAGAGAGAGAGATTTTGCTATAGGGCACATGTACTCACCAAAGCCAGAGAGAGAGAGAGAAGGGAATAGCCACACTGTAATCCTTTTTCCTCCATTCCTCCATTTTACTCTCAGAATTCTGGGCAAAATATCTAACATATTTTCAAGCTGCTGAGTATAGGACTTGAACTGTGCAAGGCAGCTGTGTGGGATCCAACTGCCTTGACCACCATGCCATGGGCTGGCCCTCATTTTTTTCTTTGTTTTTGTTATAGGGTGCATGCACTCACCAGAGAGAGAGGGAGGGAGGGAGGGACAGTGAGAAACCATGCCCCAGGGAGGATGCCATGCTGCAATTCCTTCTCCTCCATTCTCCTCTCAGAATTCTGGTTATGCACATGCATGTGCCTGGCATGATTTTCAAGCCACCAGGTCCAGGATTCCAACAGCAGTTGGCTATGTGGAGTCCAGCACCTTAACCAACATGCCACCTATTGACCCCCCATCTCCACTTTTTTTGGAGAGAGATTTTTGCTATAGAGCACATGTTCGTGCTGGAAAGAGACTGAGACAGAGAGACAGGTACCAAGAAATAACTCCCTCCCCAAGGGGATGGCCACACTGCAATCCATTTTCCCCTTGGGATTTTGGGCATGCATGCAAAAGTTTCAAGCCACTGGGTCTGGGACAGTCACATGGGAATCCCGCGCCTTAACCACTATATGACCTGCTGGCCCCTAGACCAGCTTCCAACTTAAGAATCTACATATAAGTGAGCCCACATGGCATTTGTCTTTCTGTGTCTGCTGTGTTTCTCATAACAGTGTTCTCTGAGCTCATCCACATTGCCACAGACGACAGGGTTTTATTCTTCTCTATAGCCAGATAGTATTCCTTTGTGTAAAGATGCCCTATTTTCACTCTTTTCTATTTTTTAAGAGTTTTTTTTTGCCTGTGTGTGTGTGTGTGTGTGTGTGTGTGTGGAGAGGTCTTTGCTACAGAACATGTACGCTTGCCAGAGAGACAGAAAGTGAGAAAACACCCCCCAGAGGGGATGGCCACACTGCAATCCCTCCTCTCCTATTCTCCTCTCGGGATCTTGGGCACACACACACATGAACCTGGCATGAGTTTTAAGTCACTAGGTCTGGGACTCAAACCATGGTCAACTACCTGGGAGCCCAGCAGCTTAACCATTATACTATCTGCTGATCCCAAGACATATTTTACTACAAGGCACTCACCAAAGAGTCAGAGAGACAGAAAGTGAGAAATCACCCCCCAGGGGGCGATGGCCACACTGCAAACCTCGGCATGAGATTTAAGCCACCACCTGGTCCAGGACTTGAACCATGGTCGACTATGTGTGAGTCCAGCAACGCAACCATTACACTATCCACTGGTTCCTTTTCTTTTTTCTTTTAAAAGAGCATATATGCTTGCCATAGAGAGACAGAGAAAGAAAGAGAAAGCACTCCACAATGGGGTGTGGTCACACCACAATCCCTTCTCAGTTTCTCCAAACTGCTGGGATTTGAGGCATGCACACACACCTGGTGTGTTTTCCAAGCTGCCAGGATCCAGCTGCCTTAACCGCTGGTTTGCAGGTCAGGCCTCTGTGCTGCATTTTTTTTTTTATCCATTCACTTGCTGGTGCACACTTGGGTTGTCTTTGAGACAAGTTTAAATACAGTAACCACTTCTGGCAGGGAAGGCCTGCCCTTTCCTGGACCCTGCTCTGCATGCTTCATGTTGACTTTTAATCCTGCTCTCTGAGATAGGCACAATTATTACTCCCATTATACAGATAAGAAAGCTGAGACTCAGAGAGGTTAAGGGACTCACCCAAGGTCACCCCTTGGTGACCCATTAGGCTGGGAGTCAAGAAGCCCAGCCCTGTCCACAGCTAGCTCTTTGACCGAAAACGACTCACCTCTTTGGCCGGTTCTGCTTCTGAAGGGAAGGAGTGAATGAGTCTGTGATTCGATCCTGAGATTGGCTCTGAGCAGGAGGGAGAGGTACCTGGTGAGCAGAGGGGAGCAGGGGAGTGGGAAGAGGGCAGAACATTAATTAAGCACTTGCTGAGTTGCCCTTGGCAGGTGCTTCACACAAGCCCTCTAGTTTAACTCTGACCACAAGGAATGAGGAACTTGAGACTTAAGGAGGTACAGAGGAGGCCGGGCTAGGGACAAGGAAGAAACCAGCCCTCCAGTTGGCCTGCTCTGACTGACACATGGGTTATAAGTGTTGGGGTGGGAAGTGGTTTGAGAGATTGGAGAACAAAGTGTGACAAGAGAGCAGCATGGGTGCATGTTGGTCAGTGCATGGGTGTTGGACCAGGAGCAGTTGTAAACAATAAAATGTGAGTGGGGAGACCCAGAGAGAAGAGGGTTAAGGTCAGGTGGGGAACCAACAGGAAGCATGGTGGTTAAGGCACTGGACTCCCACATAGCCAACCACAGTTCGTGTCCCGAACCTGGTGGCTTAAAAAAATCACACCAGGTGCTTGTGCGTAAACACCCAAAATTCTGAGAGGATAATAGAAGAGAAGGGATTGCAGCATGGCCATCCTCTCTGGGGATTGATTTCTTACTTTCCGTCTTTCTGTCTTTCTCCAGCAAGCACACTTGCCTTATGGCAAAAAACAAAACAAAACAAAACAAAACAAAACAAAACAAAAACACCCAGATAGGTGGAAGCTAGCAAGTGACAAACTGGACAGGGCGTTGTCCTGGGTTCTAACTCTGCATCGCCTCTTCCAGCCGCATGACTGAGCGAATCTCCTAACCTAGCTTCCCATACCTGGAAACCATCCCATCCGCTAGGTGAGGATGTCCTGGCATTTCGTTGACAAGCTTACAGCCTGAGTTCAGGGATCCCCATCTTCTACCCCCTCTTGGTTAATTGGTCTGTGGGGGCTGTCAGGCTCCATCCTGACACACCTTCACAGGTCCCTTCCACCTCAGGTGAAGGATGCAGGAGGCTCCATGACTATCCACATATTTGGCGCCTACTTTGGGCTTACAGTGACCTGGATCCTCTACCGACGCAACCTACAGCAGAGCAAGGAGAGGCAGGACTCTGTGTACCACTCGGACCTCTTTGCCATGATCGGTGAGAGCTGCTGTGAGGACTGAGGGCCACCATAGTAGGTGAGGGCTGTCAAGAATGGTGAAGGCAGCCAGGTGGATGAGGACTAGCATGATGGGTAAGGGCTGCCATGATGGATGGGGACCCTTGTGATGTGTGAAGATCACTATGATGGGTGAAGGCCACCAAAACTGGTGAAGGTGGCCATAATGGGTGAGGGCCGTCATGGTGAGGATGGATGGTGGCCATGTGGGTGATGGCCACCATGGATGAGGACCACTGTCATGAGTGAGGGCCACCATGATGGTTGTGGTCTGCTGTGATCATACCTGATCCCCCTGAAATCTGGTGGGTGACTGCCAGCCAGTTCCCGTTGAGGAAAAGGCAGAGAGAGGGTGTCCATATACACTCCCCAAACCCCAGATATATGCCCATCGTCCTCATTAGGCTGAAAGAAGTTGATTACTCATGCTGGATTTTCCCCAGAGTGCCCAACGGCAGACAGTGACAACCAGGAACTGATCATGCCACCCTAGGCTAGGGCAAGGTCTGCGTCCCTACTTCTTGTGTCTGTTCCCTCCAGAGGTCACATTTATTTACTTATTTATTTGGAGATTTTTTGCTATAGGGCACGTGTGCTTGCCAGAGAGACAGAAAGTAAGAAATCATCCCCCAGGGAGGATGGCCACACCACAATCACTTCTCCATTCTCCTCCTGGGATCTTGGGCACACACACACACATGCATACACACACGCCCAGTGTCAGTTTGAAGCCACCAGGTCCAGGACTTGAGCCATGGTCGGCCATGTGGGAGTCCAGCGATGTAATAGCTATGCTATCTGCTGGTCCCACATTTTTTTTAACAGAGGTTTTTTGTTTTGTTTTGCTATAGGCATGTATGCTTGCTAGAGAGACAGAAAGCAAGAAATCACTCCCCAGGGGGAATGGCCATGCCAGAACCCCTTCTCCTCCATTCTCCTCTTGGGATCTTGGGCACACACACACACATGCATACACACACGCCCAGTGTCAGTTTGAAGCCACCAGGTCCAGGACTTGAGCCATGGTCGGCCATGTGGGAGTCCAGCGACATAGCCATTACAGCATCCTCTGGTCCCCAGAGGTCACATATTGAGCACATCTATTCTAGTGTCTTAAAGCCCGGTCCTGCCCTCCAGGAGTGTAGTACAAGAGATGACAATGGCACCAGATAATCTTCCTACCATGGAGACAAGGTTCTCCCTCCTGGTGCTCTGGGAGGGAGGTGGGGGCATTGAGCCCAGTAACTGGGGTCTTCCTGGAGTGGAATGGAAGTCTACATGGGAGTTAGGTCAGGTGAGTAAGGCAGAGAGGGTTTTCCAGGAAGTCCCCAACGTGAGTGAAGCTGCACAGGTGGGAAACAGCTGGGGAGTAGGAGTTAAAGGCTGGGACCTCTGCCTGAGCCCTGTCTGTTCTGACCAGGCACCCTCTTCCTGTGGATGTACTGGCCCAGCTTCAACTCAGCCACATCCTACCATGGGGATGGCCAGCACCGAGCTGCTATCAACACATACTGCTCCTTGGCGGCCAGCGTGCTCACCTCAGTGGCGATATCCAGCGCCCTGCACAAGAAGGGCAAGCTGGACATGGTGAGCAGCGGGCCCGCAGGAGATGCACAGACCCAACCACCTATGCGCCCATTGCCATGCCCAACAACAACTCCTTGAGGCAGGCCACATCAGGATTGTCACACCCATCTTGCAGATAAGGGGACTGAGGCTCAGAGAGAAATGATGTGTCCAGAACCCGAAACCATATTCTTGGGGGTTTGCTAAATCGGCTGCTCTAGATGACCTTGTTCTTCCTCTGCTCCCTCAGCCTGGGGTGCTGACAGCTCTTCCTGGGCTGAGCATCTGCCAGGCTTCTGATCCTCCAGACACCAGCCCCTGGACATCTATTTCTTTCTTTTTAAATTTGTTATACGGTGTGTGCACTCGCCAGAGAGAAAAAGAGAAGGAAAGTAAGAGACCCCCCCCCCAGGGTGATGGCCATGCCACAGTCCCTTCTCCTCCATTCTCCTCTGGGGATTCTGGTCATGCACGCACACGTGCCCGACATGTTTCTCAGGCTGTCAGATCTGGGACTCTAACCACCCGGTCAGCCATTTGGGACCAAGACACATTAACCAAATTTCCTGTTTATTTTTTTTAAAGAGAGATTTTTGCGATACAGCATGTGTGCTTGCTGGAGAGACAGACAGAGAAAGAGGGAGAGAAATCACCCCCGCCCCCATGGAAAGAAGGCCATGATGCAATCCCTTCTCTTCCATTTTCTTCTCGGGATTTTGCCCAGTGGGAATTTCAAGCCACCAGGTCCAGGGCTTGAACTGTAGTCAACCATGTGGGAGTCCAGAGCCTTAACCACTACATCACCTGCTGGCCCTGGCCCTCGAGTTTCTTTCTTTTTTTTTTTTTTTTAGAGGTTTTTGCTATAGGGGTGTGCACTTGCCAGACAGACAGAGAGAGACAGAGGGACAGAAAGTGAGAAATCACCCCCCCAGGGGAGATGGCCACACTGCAATCCCTTCTCCTCCATTCTCCTCTTGGGATCTTGGGCACGCACGCACACGCGCCTGGTGTGAGTTTAAGCCACCGGGTCCAGGACTCGAACTGCGGTCAACTACATGGGAGTCCAGCGACATAGCCATTGCACTAACTGCTGGTCCCTCAAGTTTCTTAAAGATGCTCCTTTACCCCATCTCATGCACTCAAAGGACAAAGCACTTTAACGCTTTGTCCACTCCACTGGAGAAGGTTCTGGGATGCAGTTCTTGGTCTCACACTATGGGGACAGTGGTTTCTGCTGTTTAGTGTGTAGGGGCCAAACCCTATCAGTGTTGGCAGATTTGTCTATAAAAGGAAAGACACTAAGCCCGTATCTTGTGGTCTGACACAAGTTTCTCGGCCTGGGTACTCCTGTGCTGAGACACTGCCACGTGCCCTTATATGCACTGAATGCAGTACCCATGCAGACAGGTGGGGACTTGGACACTGCAGGGAAATGGATCCCTGACCCAGGCACATGGGGGTGCTTCCACACCCACACTCAGGGAGGGCCACCCAGAACAGGTCAAGGACAGAGCCCAGCCTCACACAGACCTGATCAAGACACCCCTCAGTCTCTTGTGAGTGCTGTGATCGTAAGCGAGTCGTTCAATCTCCCTGCACCTCAGTTTCCTCATCCACAAACATCAAAAGGTAACTGCACTCACCTCCCCGGCTCTTTGTGGAGACAGTGAACCAAACCTACAGCCAGCAGCTCCGTACCTGGTGTACTCAGAGCACACTGGCTGGTGTGTGTGCGCATGTCAGCCCCACAGGCACCCGACATGGATGTGCGTGTGTGAGTCTGGCACACAGGCCTACGTGTACACACAAAAGCATGAGGATGTGCCGACACGGCACACAGGCATGCACACCAACATGCTACTTGTGCACGTGGGGTGGTGTGGGTGGCACATGCGTCCAGGATACAGGGCAGCTGTGCCAAGGCTGGAACCCTCTGCAAGCTCCTGACCTGCTGATATGAATTTGGAGCCATCTTGGCACTCAGAGCCTGGCCGGCACTATCCCACAGTGAGTGAGCCCACAGGCCGGGGCCCCCCGGGAGAGGACTGAGCTCCTGCCCACTCTGCCCGCCCAACCCAGGTGCACATCCAGAACGCCACGCTGGCAGGAGGCGTGGGTGTGGGGACCGCAGCTGAGATGATGCTCATGCCTTACGGCGCCCTCATTGTTGGCTTCTGCTGTGGCACCATCTCCACCCTCGGTTTTGTGTACCTGACGGTGAGGGCTCTGGGCATGGGGCTGGGGTGGGGGGGGGGGGAGAATGCTAAGGT